AGACACCTAGAAATATTTTATATTATAATATTGGGCACCTAGCAATATTTTCTATAACAAGGCACCTAGAAATATTCTCTAATATTAGGCACCTAGAAATGTTCTCTTATAATATTAGGCAACTAGAAATATTTTCTATTATAAGGCACTTAGAAATGTTCTCTATTGTAATATTAGGCACCTAGAAATGTTCTAATATTAGGCACCTAGAAATATTTTATATTATAATATTGGGCACCTAGCAATATTTTCTATAACAAGGCACCTAGAAATATTCTCTAATATTAGGCACCTAGAAATGTTCTCTTATAATATTAGGCACCTAGAAATATTCTCTTATAATTTTAGGCACCTAGAAATATTCTATAATAATAATAATAATGATAAAGTTGGAAGAAATGTTCTAATATTAGACACCTAGAAATATTTTATATTATAATATTGGGCATCTAGCAATATTTTCTATAACAAGGCACCTAGAAATATTCTCTAATATTAGGCACCTAGAAATATTCTCTTATAATATTAGGCACCTAGAAATATTCTCTTATAATATTAGGCACCTAGAAATATTCTCTAATAATATTAGGCACCTAGAAATATTTTCTATTATAAAGCACCTAGAAATATTCTCTCATATTAGGCACCTAGAAATATTTTCTATTATAAGGCACCTAGAAATGTTCTCTATTGTAATACTAGGCACCTAGAAATGTTCTAATATTAGATACCTAGAAATATTTTATATTATAATATTGGGCACCTAGCAATATTTTCTATAACAAGGCACCTAGAAATATTCTCTAATATTAGGCACCTAGAAATGTTCTCTTATAATATTAGGCACCTAGAAATGTTCTAATATTAGGCACCTAGAAATATTTTATATTATAATACTGGGCACCTAGCAATATTTTCTATAACAAGGCACCTAGAAATATTCTCTAATATTAGGCACCTGGAAATATTCTCTTATAATATTAGGCCCCTAGAAATGTTCTCTTTTGTAATATTCAGACCGCCCAGTTGCATCAAAACAGAAGGAAGAGGGTCCAGAAAGGCGAGGCTGCTGAGCATCCGACGTGGGACTTTGCAAACGTTCAAGGCCCAACCCAGGTCAAAGTGACGCGACGGAAATCGGGAGGAGATGGCAGGCAGGGCCTCCCGGCGAGTGGCCAAGCCCCGAGGCCTTCCCGCCCCGCCAACCATGGCGCCTGCGGCCTACCTTCTTTCCCCAAATCCACGCCGGGAATCCGCGCCCGGAAAAAAGCAGCAACAGCAGCAAAGCGCGCGCGCGCCGAGCACACCAGGCCGGTCCGGGGATTATGACGCGGGGTCCCCGCGCGCCTGTGACGTCACGCCACGCCCCTCACGTCCGCGCAAGGCCGGCGTAGGGCTCCCCCCCTCCTGCCGCTCGCGCAGGCCCCGCCCCCCCCTTCGCGTCACAGCTCCGCCAGGCCGCAAAGCAGCCTGGCCGGCGACGCGGCCTTCCCCCATTTGCCCCCCCCCGAACCCCCGCACCCCCAACGGCCCGGGGCCGCGCTCACCTGACGACGGCTGCGACTGCGGCGGGGCGCCCGAGCAGGGAAGAGGAAGATGGCGGCGGCGGCGGGGAAGAGGGGAGGGGAGGGACGACGAGGAGGAGGAGGAGGAGGAGGAAGGCGGAGGAAGAAGAGGCGGCCGCGAAGCGAAGGAAGGAAGGAAAGAAGGAAGGAAAAGAGGAAGAAGAAAAAAAAAAAGCCTCGCGGGTCCCTCCGGCCGCGCGACGAGCCGCTCCGCTCCCTCAAATCGGCACAGCAACAGCAGGAGGGCGGAGGCGGGTGGCGTTGCTGGCCACGCCCCTCGCCCCGCCCGCCAGCCCGCCGCTCATTGGACGCGGCGTCGGGCGACGCGGCGCCGTTCACAAGCCGTTACCGCTCGCGTGCGCCTGCGCACGCGCGGCAGGAAGGGGGAGGGAGGGAGGGGGAGGAAAAAAAACCGGGAGGGCGGCGCCTGCGCACTTCCCGTCCGCTTCGGCGCCGCTTCCCACGTTACTTTCTGGCCCGACGCGTGTCTTGTGTGCTTACCACGGGGTCGTTTTGCAGGATGCTAGGCCTACTTCCGTGTCGGGACTGTTGAAGGGAGTGGAGGTGGGGAGGGCTAGGAAGCCACGCGTGGAGCAGGTCCCCCATGTTACACGCGTGGGTTTCTAGCTGGTTTCCTAAACCCGCCCGGAGGAAAAGCGGCCTAAGGGGCCTTGGATCAATCAAGGTCCCTCCCTTGAGCCTAGACCAGTGTTTCTCAACCTTGACAATTTTAAGGCATGTGGACTTCAACTCCCAGAATTCACGAGCCAGTTGCCAAATGTCTGATTTTAGATTAGGTGACCACATGGAGGCTTGCAACAGTCAATCTCGAGCCAGACAGGATCGAACTGCTGGCAGTGGGCAGAATTTGCCTGCAATGCTACATTCTAACCACTGAGCCACCAGGGCTCTTACAAGAGGAAGGAAGGAAAAGAGAAATCACGAGGGGACAGGGAGTTCTAGTTCCACTTTAGGCATGAAAGTCAGCTGGGTGACTTTGGTCTAGCCAAGGTTCCCCACCCCCGCCTAGTCTTGCAGACGCATCCCCCCCCCTTTGAGGTTCCCCCTTGCACCAAGGGCGAGAAAACACCCGTAGTCCTTGAGTTACGACCACAATATAGCCCTAAACCTAATGTTGCTAAGTGAGACGTTCGTGAAACGAGTTTGCCCCATAGCTATTTAAGTGATTCGTTGCATTTCTTAAGTCAACACGCTTTGTTAAGTGAACCTGGTGCTCCCGTTGATTTTGCGGGTCAGAAGATCACAAAATGGGACACCGCAACCATCATAAGCGTGAGTCGGTTGCCACGTGGCCTGGATTTTGATCATGTGACCGTGGGCATGGTACAGCGGCTGTAAGTTGTGAAAAACGGTCATACGTGCCTTTTTTTCAGTGCCGTTGAACTTGGAACTGTTGAATAGAAGAGAAGAGAAGAGAATAAGAGAAGAGAGGAATAGAACCGAAAGGAGAGAAGAGAGAAGAGAAGATAATATAGAATAGAGAGTAGAATTACAGAATAGAATAAGAGAGGAGAGAAGAGAAGAGGAATTGAACAGGAGAGGAGAGAAGCAAAGAGAACATAGAAGAAACTAGAGAGTAGAATTACACAATAGAATAAGAGAAGAGAGGAGAGGAGAAGAGAAGAGAATATAGAATAGAATAGAGAGTAGAATTACAGAATAGAATAGAAGAATAGAATAGAATAGAATAGAATAGAATAGAATAGAATAGAATAGAATAGAGCTGGAAGGGACCTTGGAGGTCTTCTAGTCCAGCCCCCTGCTCTCCCCTGAACTGTTGTAAGCTGAGGACCACCTGTGTTAACAGCCTTGGCACCAGGTAGGAGGAAGACTACCTTGCAGGGCTGTCGTTGCGGGACAGTGCGCTCCTGAGCAGAAGACCTGCGAAGGAAGGGGGCTCCCACCCAATGATGACCCCCCCCCCTATCACCACCAGCCTTGGTTTCCATCAAGCAAGCCTCCTTTGAAAGCTAGTGTCAGACTTAAAAAACAGAAGATTTGACTTGCCAGAGGGGACATTATATGATTAAATATTTGTTCGAATATGATTAAAAGAATGGATAACCTTTAGATATAATTAGACTTCTATAATAAGAAAGATCTGATTTATAATTAGAACAGCACTTTTTTTTAAATTTGGGAATTATGAAAATACGAGGATGGCTCGTATAAATGAAACTCTTAGCTATATAAATGTAATTAATCTTGAGAAAACCATAACCTGACAAAAATATTCCGAATATTGATGGGAAATTAAACTTAAATAAGAATATGAAAAACAAGATATTGATTTAATAAGGAGATTTCAGCTTCAAATACATTTGAAATATAAATTGGTTAGAAAAGAGATTATAAACTGATATTATTGTTATTTGTATAACACTAGAAAATATGAAGAGGATGTACATATTCAATTTTGTATGTATTAATAGTAACAAGAATTCTATTTGCGTATTTTTGGGAAAATGAAAATCATTTGAAAAGAAAGGAGGATCAGGGAAAAAACACTGGATTGTGCAGTATTGAATAGATTTATATTGAAGAAGTTAATGTTAAATATGTGAACCCAGACAACACGTTGTTTACTAAGTAGTAAAGATTGTAATTGTTAAAAATCAATACAATATTTTTTTTAAAAAAATAAAAGCAAGCCTCCTTTTTCCATCTTTCACAGCCTGGTACAAGTCACAGCGTCCAGCACAAGCCACGATCGGACCAGGCTTGGCTCAACTTCCCTGCAGCTAGAAAGGCGGTCTGTTGTGATCTCACAGCTTCAGAACTCATCTTTGTGCATCGGCAATGTACCAAGTGTAAAAAAAAAACAAAAAACCTTGCCAGTTGTGAGGCTATGACCTCATCTCAACCTGACATGGCTGACCCAAACTTCAGTCCTCACTCTGGCTGTCCCCTTTGCTCCCTTCAGCATTGCACCAAAAATGATGGAGGGGAGAGCTGAAAAGTAAAATAAATAATAAATAAAAATGAAATGCCCAAGAGAAGCACCATGCTTATAGGGCTGTCTGGGGCAGAGTTTCTCAAAGTGGGCAGCTTTTAAAATATGTGGACTTCAATCAGAATAGAGCTGGAAGGGACCTTGGAGGTCTTCTAGTCCAACCCCCCCCCCACTCAAGCAGGACATCGTATACCATTTCAGACAGGTGGCTATCCAATCTCTTCTTAAAAACCTCCAGACTTGGAGCACCCACAACTTCTGGTGGCAAGCTGTTCCACTAGTTAATTGTCCTCTTCTTTGTGGCAATCCCCCAAATACTGAAATACTGCTATCATATCCCCCTGGTCCCTCTTTTCTCTAGACTGGCCAGTTTTCAGATCCATCCTGATCCTGTAGCATCTATTCTAGCTAATAATCTCTGCAATCTCATCAGATCCTCTGTTTACAGCAGAGCAATCCCTGCATACGAAAATCCATGTTCATTTATCCCTGACAAACACTGTTTCATATAGTGACTAGTTGCCATCTGAGAGCTTATACAGGACAAAAAGACTTTCTCCAGTTAAAAAATGCCACGCTTAATTGGATAAGTGGCCTAGATATTAATATGTAGAATACTTATTTTATTTGTATGAACCAGCGTATTTTAAAACGAAATTTGTAACTTCTTCATCCAAAGGTGCTTTTTCACGAGGCAACTGGACTTTCGTTTTTGTCTTTGAAGACGTTTCGCTTCTCATCCAAGAAGCTTCTTCAACTCTTTTATTATGGAGTCTATGGAATGAGAAGGACTAGGGACTCTTCTTGGATGAGAAGTGAAACGTTTTCAAAGAAATGCTCAATTCTGCATTCTATTCTATTGTATATTTCTATTCTATTCTATTTTGTTCTATTTCTATCCTATTCTACTCTATTTCTATACTATTCTATTCTATCCTGTTCTATTCTACTCTATTCTATATTTTCTATTGTATATTTTCTGTTCTGTTCTATTCTATAATTTCTTATTGCTTAGAAAATTGACCACGTCTCCACCTGATGTGTATGAGTTCTTTCTGTATCTCTTTACTGCTGCTATCCATGAATTTCATGCCGTTTGCAAAATAAACCCCCTTCCCATCCTTCCATCATCCCACTTCTAATATCACCACAAGGATTTATTTATTCCCATGTGGGATTAATAAAACTGATTCTGTGGAAAAAATGAAAGAAATCTGCCAATGAAGTGAAGCTTGCAAAAATTAGTGTAGGGATTAAATTATTTGCAGTTTCTTGTGCAGGCAGTCCTCGGCTTACAACAGTTCATTTCATGACCGTTCAAAGTTACAACAGCACTGAAAAAAGTGACTTATGACCATTTTTCACATTTACGACCTTTGTGGCATTCATGTGATCAAAATTCGGATGCTTGGCAACTGATTCATACTTATGATGGTTGCTATGTCCCCAGATCACGTGATCCCTTTTTGCAACCTCCTGACAAGCCAAGTCAATGGGGGAAGCCAGGTTCACTTAACGACCATGTGACTAACTTAACCACTGCAGCGACTCACTTAACTACTGTGGCAAGAAAGCTGATAAAATGGGGCAAAACTCACTTAAGTGTCTCGCTTAACAACATAAATTTTGGGCTCAATTGTGGTCCTACGTTGAGGGCTGCCTGTACCAGGGATAGGCAACCTTGGCTCTTTTATGACTGGTGGACTTCAACTCCCAGAATTCCTGAGCCAGCCATGCTGAGGGGAAAGGGAGAGGTTTCCAAGCTGAGCCATGCTGACTGAGGAATTCTGGGAGCTGAAGTCCATGAGTCATGAAGGGGCCATAGTTCCCCCATGCTGGCTCAGGAATTCTGGGAGTTGAAGTCCACGAGTCATGAAGCAGCCTAGGCCTAGGCCAGAGGTAGGCAACCTTGGCTCTTTTATGACTGGTGGACTTCAACTCCCAGAATTCCTGAGCCAGCCATGCTGAGGGGAAAGGGAGAGGTTTCCGAGCTGAGCCATGCTGGCTCAGGAATTCTGGGAGTCGAAGTCCACCAGTCATGAAGGGGCCAAAGTTTCCCTC